AAGAGTCAGAGAAGGAAATGTGAGAATACCCCTCACCCCCAGAGGGGATGGCCACACCACAATCCCTTCTCCTCTATTCTCCTCCTGGGAATTTGGGCACACATGCACACATGCCTGGCATTATTTTTAAGCTGACAGGTACAGAACTTGAACTGTGGTCAGCCATGTGGGAGTCCATGGGAATCCAAGCATGCCACTTGCTGGTCCCAACTAATGGTTTTTAAAAGTCATTCTCACTTTTTGATTACTTCTCAAAATTAACATCTACAACAGAGAAACAAAGGCAACTTAAAAAAAATAGTTTACCTTATAATTAAAATATAGCCATCCTTTGGGACATGTTCCATGTTGTTTCGGTGCATCTTTCTCTTTCTCTATGACCCAAATATTTTTTCGCTTACAAATACTAGGCATAGAAACTGAACAGTCATCACTACCCCAGAGTCCTGGAGGAGAAACAAAGGTGACTCTTTGTAGGCATTCTCTATTAATCACTACTTTTATGAATGCAGTGGTTTTTCATTATTTTAAAAACATTTTTTTTTTTGCCAGAGGGCACATGTACTCATCAGAGAGACAGAGAGAAAGAGTTGAGAGAGACAGCAACCCCCAATAGGGTGTGGTCATATTCCCAATTCTTTTTACATTTCTTTTTTAGTAACTTTTAAAATTTATTGTCCCAATCCCTTTTCCATTTCTTTTTTAGTAACTTTTAAAATTTATTTTATTTATTTATTTATTATTATTAATTTGACCAGAAAGAGACAGAGAGAGGGAGAGGGAAAGTGAGAAAGCAAGCCACCGGGTCCAGGACTTGAACTGTATGCTGACCATGTGGGAGTCCAGGGCCTCTAACCACCACACCACCTGCCAGCCCCTCTCCTCTATTTCTTTATTCTGTTTGGATTTGGGGCACATGCACAAGTGTTCAGCATGTTTTTCAAACTGCTGTGGCTGGTATTTGAACCACATGATTGGCCATAAAGGATCTGGTTCCCTTAACTGCTAGGCCATGGGACTGTTTTTTAAAATTTATTTATTTTTAATCTAGAAACTGAACTAAAGTTAACTACTGATCATGGATTCTCTCGTGTCTGGTGAGAACAGTTAATGGGGTCAGATGCCAGATTAGTAATTATAATCTAAGATTATAGAAATTTTGTAAATATAGGGCCAGCAGGTGGTGTGGTGGTTAAGGGCGCTGGACTCCCACATGGCCGACTGCAAGTTGAGTCCTGAACCTCCCGGCTTGCTTTCTCATTTTCTCTTTCTCAGTCTGTCCCTCTCTGGTCAAATTAAAATAAATAAATAAATAAATAAATAAAGTTAGATCAACTAATTCTTTTTTTAAAAAAGGAAATTTTGCAGATACAAAGGAAAATGTAATCTAATTATAGTCATGCACCACATAAGAACATATTGGTCGATAATGGATCACATATGTAATGGTTGTTCCATAAGGTTCTAGCAGGCTTGACCATCTATCCAGAGTATAGAAGTACTCTGGATGTTCACATAATGATAAAAGCACCTAAAAACTCATTTCTGTCATTAACTGACACGTGGCTACAAACAATACAACAACTAAAGTCACAGAACCAATTAAAGTCCTAAAATATTTGACTTGGATAGCAAAAGAATACTTTGTAGAGTAATATTTTTGTTTCAAAAGATTCTGCTTCAGTGGGCCAGTAGGTGGCATGGAGGTTAAGGCACTGGATTCTGCATTGCCAGCTTCACAATTTGAGTCTTGGACCCGGCAGCTCGAGAATCACACAGGGCACATGTGCATGTGTGCCCACAATTCCAAGAGGAGACTAGAGGAGAAGGGATTGCAGCATGGCCGTCCCCCTTGGAGGTGGTGATTTCTCATTTTCTCTCTCTCTCTCTCTTTTTATCTTTCTCTGGTGAGTGCATGCATCCTATAGCAGAAACTTAAAAAACTAACAAAAAACACGACTGCCTCAATGTACAAAGGGGAAAAAATGATCCTAAAGAAATAAGTGATCATTTCCCTTTTAACTCTTTAGAAAATATAATTAATTTAGAAAAATTAACCCAGTCACTGCTAAAACAGTAGCTGATCTTTAAATAAAATAGACTCATACATAGACATGCCTCCAGTAGGATACACCCTCAAGATCTGCAAACTGTAAGCTGAATTTTTTTTTTTTTTAAATTTAGAAGAGCTATATTGTGAAAACTACAAGCTGATTTTTTTTTTTTAAATTTAGAAGAGCTATATTTTCAGGATAAGGGTCATAGAACACATTTTGTTTGCATTCAAGTCATATATCCCAGTATAGGGCAAGAATGCATATGACTTGCAGGGGCAGGCTCGGTTTTGAGGATTATGAGCCAAAAAGATGTTTGCACTTTGAAAGAGGGGCTGGAATGCTATTTTCAATGCAGATTAGCTGCTACTCTTTCAGACTCATAAAATAGTACTTTCTGTAGGCTGTTGTGACACCTGCTGGCAAAAGCAAGCTGATTAACCACATGGTTTTTTCCCTTTCCTAACACTGTAAGGACTGCTTCCTTGTTTATCCCTCTTCTGACTGGGAAGCACATTACTTTACTAATCTGTTAGAGAAAGAAATAGCATTGTCTTTTATTGGTTAGAAAGAATCGTGTGGGTATGAGTGGACAATCAGTCCAGATAACACTGTTGATGGGTATCTCTTGTCCAAAATGCTTGGGACCAAAAGTGTTCCAGATGTCAATTTTTTTTTTTGGGGGGGGGAACAGTATGCACATATATAATGAGATATCTTGGGGATGGGACCCAAGTCTAAACACAAAAGTTATGCTTCATAGATACTTTATATCCATAGACTGAAGGTAATTTTATACATTTTTGTGTTGCAGCGTTATGACCTATAACATAAGGTCGGATGTGAAAATTTCCACTTGTTTAACACCATGTTAACACTTAAAAAGTTTCAGATTTTAGAGTATCTCGAATTTTGGATTCTTTTTTTTTTTTTTTTGCCATAGGATGCACGTCCTTATTGGAGAGAGACAGAGAGAGAGAAAATAGGAAATCACCCCTCAGGGGCATGACCATGCTGCATTCCCTTCCCCTTCATTCTCCTCTTGGGATTTTGGGCATGCACATGCTCACGCCTGGTATGATTTTCAAACTGCTTGGTCCAGGACTTGAACCACAGTTGGCCATGTGGGATCCAGCCACCACCACACTGCCTGCTGGACCCCAGATTTTGTATTTTTTTAAAAAAAAGTTTAATTTTCCTCTCTCTCTTTTTCTCTCATTCTTTAAGAGATAGGTACTCTTTACAGGGCTCTGCCACTGTCCATCTCCAGCCCTCCAGCCAGCCAGGATCATGGTCATGCCCAGGTCAATCTAAGCTATGAACCCGGGACTTTCCCATGCGGCTCTAACATTGCATGGTGTGCTCCACTGCCTGTGTCCCCATGCCTGACCCTGACTTTGGAGATTTGATTAGGGAGCTTAACCTGTACTGAGAGAGAGAGAGAGAGAGAGAGAGAGAGAGAGAGGAGCTGATTATGTTTCTAAATCCAGTACTCATACAGTTGCTATTCTAAGACAAGTAGCAATTTATGCCAGGAATTAAAACAAATACTGAATTGAATCAAAATTTTCATTGAATGAGACAAGTAAAGTTAATTTCATGCAGTTTAAAATTCTTATGAACTATAAATTGGATACTTTAAGAATAGATAAAAAAAATTAAACCCATATTGAAATTTCATAGAGAAGAGTGTCATGCATATTTTTTAACAATCCCACTGGCCCATTTTTGGTGCTGTTTTGGTTCATGAGGAAGTACTTAAACAGTTATACATTATTTTCAAGGACATGAATGCATGAATTAAACAGAGGGAATGGTCACTCTTCAATCTTAAGACTGATGAAATTGAACACAGTCAACTGAAAAGAAAAAAATATATAAGACTTTCTCACTAAACTCATGCAATGAAAAGCAGATTTCAAATCTTTTGAAAGTGATCAATTTGCCAAAAAAGGATAAATAAAATAACCTGTTACAGCAGAAACGAAGCCACATCTCTGACTCTGATTATTGACAAATTTTCCTCTATCTTTGTCCCAGTTTTGGTATATTATCGGTGTTCCATCTCTCCAACTGCAGGAAAATAAAAAATTTTGAGTTTTTTCCTCATTCGGAATGTTTGATTTCCAACATCATTCTTAGAGCCCTGAGTATGGATTGAAGGTGTACTATTTTTTTTTTTTGAGAGAGAGGTTTTTGCTATAGGGCGCGTGCGCTTGCCAGACAGAGACAGAGAGACAGAAAGCGAGAAATCATCCCCAGGGGGGATGGCCATGCCGCAATCCCTTCTCCTCCATTCTCCTCTCGGGATCTTGGGCATGCACGCACACGTGCCCAGCGTGAGTTTTAAGCCACCGGGTTCAGGAAGCTAATTGTAGTTGACTACATGGGAGTCCAGCGACATAGCCATTACGCTAACTGCTGGTCCCCAAGGTGTACTATTTTACTAAATAAAAATTCATAAACGACACAGTGCCTAGACTTAACAGTACTGGGTTGTATACTAAAAATTTTTCCAGAGGGTGGGTTTTATGTTAAGTGTTCTTATTGCAGAAATAAACAAATGCATACATACAGAGGAAGAGAGAAAGCTTTTGGAAGTGATGCATTTGTTTGTGACATAACTTGTGGTGAGGGTTTCAGGAGAGCATGCTTAAAAAGCACGTGTTGGCTAGAAAATTAAAACTTTATAAGTTAAAGACAATGTTTCATGATTATCCAATGAATTAATTACTAAGATAGTCTAATCATTCTGTAAACAAAGTGTCAAACAAAATTAAATGCAAAGTAATCTAGGTTCATACTGCAAGTTGTCATTGTTTCTGTCCTCTTGAAGTCCGATCCACCAATTTACACCATACTTTGATAGCTATTAAAAGGAAAAGAACAAAAGGAAATGTCAGCATTTATTCTACTTGTTTTCCTTTTTCACCATTAAGATGAATGGACTTGCTGTTAATAGCTTTCTATTCTTCAGTATTTTACCCAATTATCTAAGGAAGAGTATACCAAGGTTTAGCATCAAACACCTAAAATAACTGTAGTTTCAGACAACTTGTAAAGTAAATTTTCTAACTTTGTAAGAAGGAGTTGAAAAGTAAAATTTTAAAGCAAAATAGAAGACGGATTCCTTTTCAAAGAAAAAAATACTGATTTATCCTCTCAGTGATCTATAGAAATTTATTCCATGTGTCTCATCTATTTAAAAAATAATTCAAGGCACAAAGATTTAAAATTTTAAAGATTTAAAAATTTAGATATTAGTCTGATGCTTAAGCTTTAAACAGTGTTAGCACCTTCTCCATTTAAAGAGAGAAATACAACATAGGACAAATGCATTCTATAGAATTCCCAGTGTATTTTATTAATTTTACATCATTAGTAGCAACATGGACCTATGTACAATAAAGTATAAAACTGAAACACCATGTGCACGCATGCGTTAGAGCAAATGTAATCCTGGACTTCTGACTCAAGAAATAAAATTCAACTATAAAACAGGAAGAGGCAGTAAGGATTTCTTTAAGACTTCTAAATCAGTACATTTTATGTGTGTGCGCTTTGTCTGTGTATGTGAATGTGTGTAGAAATGTAACAACCTGTTAATGACAGATTCAAATTTGCATTCATTTCTTTTGTAAGACTTGGGAATACATTTTAAGTGACATTATTTTTCCATATAAATTTTAGGTCATCAGACTGCAGAACCTATTAGCTCTCTAACATTTTAATTTATAAACAGGTATTTTCACTCCTTAAGCAGTGTAGCAGTCTGCTATATCAGCAATTTGAGAATAATGCAAGCTGGAACAACTGTAATTTGGGATCCCTGAGGTGTTGTTTCATGGATATGTTCTTACATGCTGAATTTAGATTCCTGTTGTCAGACTTCAAAATGGGTCCACTGAGACTGGCTGTGAATTCAACGGGAGAGCCGGAACGGTGCCATTCAGTCTAAAGGGGTCTCTTGTGCAACAGTAGTGGAAATCACAGCCCGATTGTTCACTGTCCCAATTAGGGACCTCTAAAGAGAAATTATAACTACTGCATCTTAAGTGGCATATTTATTACCACCTCAATTACAACATGGTCATCTTCCACATGGTACATCACAACCAGTTGTGACATGGCACAGAACTTCTTAGGCCAAACTAGAACACACTCAGGCTGAGAAACCCAAAGTGGAGGATGGATGTTATAAATTTTCATTTAGGTGTAAGTTTCAGCAATAGAAGATGTGTATTTATATAAAGAAATGTGATGTGATCATGCATTTTATAATATCAACTGTTTTATTTTTTTTGCATAGAAAAATACATGGTGACTTTCCTGACAACTCAGTATGTTTTGTTATGTACACAACCATTACTGTTAGCACTGTGTAGGAAGGATATTTACCAAAAATAAATAATACACAGGAATAATCAAGATGTTAATCTCCTAATCAATATAAGAAAGGACAATGTGTCATCTTACAAAATGTTTCCATGAAAAATGGCAAAACAGTTATTTTAAGAGTTTAAAACACCAAGGACTAGCAGATGATGTAATGGTTATGTCACTGGACTTCAATATATTTGACTACGGTTCAAGTCCAAGATTGGCAACTTAAAACTCATGCCAGACACATGTGCATGCATGCCCAAGATCCTGAGAGGAGAATGGAAGAGAAGGGATTGCGGTGTGGCCATCCCCCCGGGGGGGGGGGTGATTTCTCGCTTTCTGTTTCTCTGTCTCTCTGGTGAGCACACATACCTAATAGCAAAAATCTCACTCTCAAAGAAAAAAAAAAAAGAGTTTAAAACACCAGACTTTGGAGGAGGACTAACAAATTTAATAAATATTTTTAGAAGTATTTAGAAATGAAATGTTAAAAATAATGGTAAATTACCATTTTGCAGTTCAAATATTTTTTATTTTTTGGAGAGGTTTTCGTGATAGGGTTCGTGTGCTCACCAGAAAAAACAGAGAGATAGAAAGTGAGAAATCACCCCCCAGGGAGGATGGCCAGGCTGCAACCCCTTCCCCTCCATTCTCCTCTGGGGATCTTGGGCACACACGCACATGCGCCTGGCGTGAGTTTAAGACACCGGGTCCGGGACTCGAACCACAGTTGACTACGTGGGAGTCCAGCGACATAGCCATTATGCTAACTGCTGGTCCCTAAAGTTCAAATATTGCATAACATGTAAAAATGTCAGTCAAGTAGTTTATGTTGAACAACTCCTACAGTGGTTGTAGCTTTTTTACTTGTTCAGCATCTCATCTGATTATTAAAATTGCTCAAACAATAAATATTGAAAAATTCACTCCACTCATGCCTTGTGATCTTCTATTATTCAGAAAATGGGAGAGAAAATACTGACTTACTCCTTTTTTGAAGATGAAAACATCTTGTTAAATATTTTTTCTGTTCTGATTTTTAAAATGATATCCAGCTTTCTTGTAAGTACCTAGTTCTTCTTTAGTTGACCTAAATAGCATTTTTGTTTTTCACAATTTAGTCCCTATTCTTCATAGGGGAGCTATACAAAATACATGCAATTTCATGAACATTTACTTACTTATCTGGTTCTTCCTACATTTATAGGATAGGTGTGCCACAAAAGGGAGTGGCATTACCTTTACAGGTTTGCTCCTCATTCTGAGATAAAATAACTTCTCTTGAGTTGACTCATCCCAGTAACTCTTTCTTAGGTATGGGATTTCTTACTTATAAAATGTAAATGGTCACCATAAATACCACCATCTTTACCAACAGCAAAAATGTATCCAACATAGCCATGAATTATGCAGAAGTAATTCTCAACAATTGCTTGGAAATCTACAGCTTTCTTTCCTGTAATTTGATACCCTTTGTCCTTGAAACCTTGCTAATAGACCAAAGTTTGAGTTCTCTTTAAATTTACATGTTGAAATCTTAATCCCTCTGGTGAAATACTAGCAGGTGGGACCTTTAGGAGGTGATTAGGCAATGAGACTGAAGCCCTCATGAATGGCACTAGTACTCTTATGAAAGAAGGGGCCCCAGAGAGCTCCCTTGCTCCTTCCACCATGGGAGGCTACAGTGAGAAAACAGACAGCAATGAACCAGGAAGTGGGCTAGACCAGGAAGTGAACTAAACACAAGACCTGCCTTGAACTACTAACCTCCAGAACTGTGGGAAATAAATTTCTGATTTTTATACAAAAGCCAGCCAGTCTGTGATATTCTGTTCTAACAACACTAATAGGATAAGACAGTCCCCTTGTCCCTTTCTCAGTCCCCATGTCCTATATGCTCTAGTACTTGTCTTTTATGGCACAGTGGGGTGTTAGGTCAGTCACCAGCTCATCCATAACACTGACAGGACATTCTATATGAACATGGTGGATCATGGTCTGAGGAACAATCTTGTCACCTGATACACCATAAGGTTTGTCTGATTTGGATCAGAGTTCTTAGCTAGATTATGGCATTGCTAGGACTTTTCAAACTCCTAAAACTACTGAGTTTTTACTATCCCTTCAATGGGAGCATCCCTAGTCCAAAAGTCTGAAATAAGAAATGCTTCAAAATCTGAAACTTATTGAGTACCTACTTGACACCACTAAAATAAATAAATAAATAAATAAATTCATACTTCACTTGATGTGATGGGTCACAGTCAAAATGCTGCAATACAAACCTATTGCATAAAATTTATCTTCAGGCTATGTGTATAAAGTGCATATGAAACATAAATAACTTTTGTGTTTACATTTGGGTCTCATTTTCACAAAATCTCATTAAGGAAATGTAAATATTTCAAAATCTGAAACACTTTAGGACCCAAGCATTTAGGATAAGGAAAACTCAGCCCATAGTTCCACCCCATTAACTTTCTGACTCTCAAATATAAGGAGACCAATGAAGAGGGAAGGTGAAGAGAGAAGACCTACAATAGTTCCTAGGAGAACTAAGTCTGTTGAAAAGATAAAAGAAATCTTTTATTGTTCATGTCTGAGATAGCGCTGGTGACCATCTGTTGGGTAGGGATTTTAGAAATAGCATTTTTTCTTTTTCTTTTTTTGGAGAGGTTTTTGCTATAGGGCGTGTGCACTTGCCAGGAAGACAGAGAGTGACAGAGAGACAGAAAGTGAGAGATCACCCTCCAGGGGGGATGGCCACGCTGCAATCCCTTCTCCTTTCTCCTCTTGGGATCCTGGGCACGCACGCACATGTGCCCGGTGTGAGTTTTTAAGCCACCAGGTCCAGGACACGAACTGCAGTCGACTACGTGGGATTCCAGCGACATAGCCATTACGCTAACTGCTGGTCCCTAGAAATAGCATTTTAATGTAGGGAAGACACTGTACTCTTATATGCTCTGGACATTGTTGTCCTGTCACAAGCTACACTGTGTATGGTTTTTAATGATCTTGTAAGTCAGAGTCAGTTTCCTTAACTGTAAAATATACTAATCATAGAGTTCTCGGGGAGGGTTCTGGAAAAGATTAAATGGCATTACATGTTAGTACTCAGCACACGCCTGACACCATTATTGTTAAGTCCTGACCAAATATCAGCTCTCTGGACTCTGCATATCGAGGGATTGGTTTTCAGCCATTTACCTAATCTATTGTTATTGTCACTTGGGGTGAGGAGTTTGGTGTCTTGCAAAATAAACAAATACCTTTCTGACATCATGATATGTCATTTGTGGATATTAAACATTAAAGTTTTGGGTTGAGTGTCTATTCCACTCGTATGAGTGGAAGGACAGCAAAATAGTGTACAAACGGGCAGTGGGAACATCTTGCATGTAGCAGGTGTTCTGCATGTGTCTCTGTGGGGCCATGTATTTGTCACCTAAGCTCTCTGTTCTAGACTTTCCCATCGTAATACTGTACGATCCTGAGCTGCCTGTACCTCACAGGGTAGAAGTGCACCAAACAGGATACAGAAATGGTAAAGTCCCATGAGCTGTGTGAGAAGACTTTTCTCTTACCAGCCCAGGATGTTTTGATACGGAGCTTTATTTTAACAATCAACTTAGACAGAAAAGGATGATAGAGCTAGAAAGTGTTCTTGGAGATTCCATAATATGGTTAAATTACAGAAAAATAAAAAGACTTTCTTGCCTTTCAAAATGTCCTAGTGAGGGGCCAGCAGATGGTATAGTAGTTAATGTGCTGGACTCCCACATGGTTGACAGCAATTTGAGTCCTGGACCTAATGGATTGAAAATCATGCAAGGCCTGTGTGTGTGCCCAAAACCCCAGGAGGAGAATGGAGGTGATGAGATTGCAGTGTGACCATCCTCCCTTTGGGGGTATTGTCTCACTTTCCCTCTCACTGTCTCTCTTGAGTGAGTGCATACACCTTCTGGCAAAAAAAACAAACAAACAGAAAAAAACAAACCTTAAAAAAAAAACTTAAAAAAAAAAAATGAAAGAAAAAAATAAATTTCCTAGGGCAAGTTGAGAGTGAGGTTTTCCCTCCTTTTTGCGCCATGAATGATCATTTGTACATGCAGTTCCCTTTTTACTTGTGACATCGTATCATTTCCAGATTTTAAAAAACAGAGACCATGTCTCTTATATTTTTCTTTCCTTGACAAATATCATTCCTAGCACAACCTTGATGCTCAGTACATTCTTGTTGAAGGAATACACTGAAATGTACTGTTCCTTGGCAGTTTACTTTATTATTTAACAGATCTTGCACGCTCCTTTCTTATTGACTTAGTTCCTCACACAAAGTCTAGTCTTTCTGTATCTTAGACTGAAATGGAAAACTACTCCTTTCCATTTTCTGTATATTGTATCAAGTCTTGGCAAATTTAAAAACAGTGCTTAATTTAAAAATTTATGGTCTTATAAATTCCACAAGGACAGGAACTTTGATTTATTTTAATCATGGATAGACTCTAGGCCTTACTTAGAAGGCTCTTGAAAAACACATGTTTAATGATCAAATGACCCTAACAAAACAATAAAACTATCTTTATTCACCATTGTTGATAATAAAGAATGAAGGAAAGTGAAATGGCTGAGTAGCTTAATAAAACTGTATCTACATTATTTTCTCTTAATATTTATAATAGGAAGAGAAAAGATTCTCAAAAATCTCATCTTTTACCAGAACTTAAATAAATGTCTAAAGTTAAAAAAAATGTACTCCCACCATCCCCCAGGATAGAAAAAGGAGCAAAACTCTAATTTCTCATGACAAATTATATTCTAGTACCGCTTTTATTTTGCTGTAGATGAATTCTTGCTCCTGTGAAGAATGAATTGTGAGAAGATCACTGCGCAGCCAGCTACAGACAAATTCAAAGGAGAACCATTCTGAGGCGTAGGTATGAAACAGGTACTCTGCATTCTGAAAAAAGAGCCAGGGTGCATCTGCAAGAAAAACGAACAATGCAAATGACGGCAAAGCTCTTCAGAGACGTAATGCAAACTTCAGTAGGCATGTAGGATTGACCTCAAAATTGCAATTTGTGCACTCAGCACTAAAAAAAATTGTATCCACACACATATGTACAAATGCACACATGCATGCATGCAAAACAAGAGCACTTTGAGAGTTTTTTGTTTTTTGGATTTTTTTTGAGATTTTTTTTTCCTATAGTGTGCGTGCTTGCTAGAAAGACAGAGAGAGACAGGGAGTCAGAAAGCAAGAAATCACCCCCCGGGGGGATGGTCATGCTGCAATCCCTTCTCCATTCTCCTCTTGAGATTTTGGGCACGCACGCACATGTGCCTGGTGTGAGTTTAAGCCACCAACAGGTCCAGGACTTGAACTTGGTCGACTACATGGGAGTCCAGTGACATAGCCATTACGCTAACTGCTGGTCCCCACTTTGAGAGTTTGTGAGAGATGGAATTGAAGTATGAGTTTATTTTGGTGCAAACATTTTTGAAATCTATGCATAATTTTTTCATAATACACATTTTCCATGAGCATTTTGAAGACCCCTTGTATATATGCACACATGCATATAAATATATAATTTGCTTGTTTTCTTTGGTCTACCTTATATAAGACACCTTCTCTAGTATTTGAAGGTCAGAGGGAGACACATACTTTAAAATCACAAGTCATGAAAATTGAGTTCAGCTCCATTAGTCTTCAATCATATTTAATGACCACATTTATTAATTTGATTATAATTATTAATTTAATTATTTGGACAAATTAGCTCTAAATTGACACAACCAAAGAAAGGCTCGATTAGAGAAATATAATAATACCATAATGGGATATAGTCACATTTATGTGATACATAATTAGAAATTCAAGGACTGCCAGCATAGTTCTTACCATACTGGTACCAGGGTGGAATCTTGGGTCTCACATCTGCAAAGTGAAAGGAAACCATATGCCCTTTAGTCACAGGTGCATTGCCTCTGAATTACTCTAGCTCTAAACACACTATTTTGTACTTTACCTTTTAAAAAATCATTTTTTAAAAAAGGCAATGTTTAGAATACGTAGTTAATATGAGAACATACTTGAGGAAGCTCCAGAGAGACTTTTGTTAAAGAAGAAAGAACATGAACACTGGTTGAGGGCCTACTCTGCGCCACTCACGATGCTAGGTGCTTCCAGTACTCACTTGTTTGTTTGTCACATCAGAATGACATTTCTCCCAGACTGCACTTATGCAGTGAGATATTCCACGATGTTTTACCCTTATCCCTGACAGACAAACTTGGCATACTGTTCAGGTGCCATTTTTTCTCATTTCTCTTTAATACATTCTTTGCTTAAATAGTGCAACTTGGTTCATCATGTGGCTTGCTCATGCTGTGATATAGGGGCTTAAATTTTAGATCGCTATCGCTCTTCAGTTGGGAAAGTAGATTACTAGACATCAAACACACAATAAAGACCTTATTGATATTTTTACCTCTTGGAATTTTGCATATCCATTCGCGTTTGGCACCACAGTACAAGGGTAGTAATGTTTTATTTGCTTTATACACAGCACAATTTCTTGCCTCTTCTTCAAAATAAGTGTTGTCTAAAAATGAAGAGACAACCTGCAGCAGATGAAGTTCATTATTCCTTAATGATGATGCCCCAGAAAGCATTTCAAAAGATAAATAAAAGCATCTCTGTACATAATCATTATAGACTTCTAGAACAAGCCTCAGAAGTGTCTGGATGTCATTCCAGTTAAAGTGTGTTCCACGTTTGTGCAGAATAAGCGAATCAATATTTAGCATTTTTTTCCTTAAAGATGTCTTTTCTTAAAAGAGTGTTATCTTTTTTTTCCAGAAGAAACAAATCACATGCAAGTTTCTTTCTGAATTGCTACTATTTTTATGTGCTGCCTTCCAAAGAGAGAGGAGTGGGGGGAATGAGAAAGTACCCCCCCCCCGTGGGATTGTCACACCACAACCCCTTTTCCTCCATTTCTCCCCTTTTTTGGGGGGGACTTTGGGCATGCATGCACATGTACCTGGAGTGTTTCTCAAGGACTCGAACCATAGAATGGCCATGTGGGATCTAGCCACCTTTACTACCAGGCCACTAGCTGGCCTTGGACTTGTGCTATTTTCTATTAATAATTGGCAGAATTAGTCTAGTCCTGGGATCCTGGGCCAACTTCTTAGAGGCTCAAGGATGAGACAGATCTGTGTATCACTTTTGACGTTAAGGTTATTGCATATATGCTAAGTTTTCTCGTCTCTAATAACAATTTTCAGAAAACTATTCAGCATTTTCTATAAATGACCACATAACACATATAATTCACACAACAGGCATACTACATAAAGATTCAACTTCTCAACTGTTTTATGACTACCTAATAGAAGAGTGGATGGGCCACAAGTAAAATTGGAGTACGAAATTTGGAAAAATGAAAGGACTTTAAAAAACCATTTATAGTCCTTCTCACATATCTACACAGTCATGCAACAATTCATCAAGTTCAGAGAACTGTGTTAGTTTGAATTCACTTTGTCCACCAGGGAGTGGTGAATAACCATAATCCCTGCTTCAAGCCTTTAATCTCGTTTACTTGAACCAAATTGTCTATTCCTCTCCCATTACTAATGAGTTTGTTTTGCTAAACCAAAATGGAGTGTTCTCAACCTCTCTATATAAAATGCTGTTTTTCAAGTGCTGAATTGACTTTAACCACCCACGTGCTGTGTGATGACTGCGTTTGTGAGGCGAGTTGACCCTGTATCTTTTCTGTTTTCTGGGCCTTGGTTTCTTCATCAGCAAAGTAGATGGACAAGGCTAACTGATCTCTAAGAATCTCTGATTATGATATCTTTTTTAAAGGAGTAGTATTGGGGTAGAAATATAATTATTTTTTAACTGGCATACCCTTATCATTATGGTTTTTCCTGCTGGAAGCATATAGCTTTTTTGTAAATCTCTTCTTTGTCACCAATTTGAGTACCATCTATGTACTGGGCTTTTCTCTACTGGTCTTCAAAGTCTAGCTGTTGACACTTTGCCAACTGGGAGATGTTGTAACAGTGCAGCTTTGGTGTCAGACAACCTGCGTGTAAATCTTGGCTCTCCCAAGCATTATTTTAGACAAAACAGTTAATCTTCCTAAAACCCACTGCACTGAGTTAGCCTCAGGATGAACTGAGAGGATGTAAGAGTGCGCTCATCCCAGCGCTTAGAATAAGAAGGGCCGAATTAACAGGAGCTGTCTCAGGTGCTCACTGCAGGCTCCTGCTAGTCTCCCTGCCTCACAGGTGCAACTGAGTAAGTGGACTTTGCATGTGCCCTAGGGTGAGTCTCGTTTCCATCTTGGATGCTGCTTCAGTTTTCCTCTATCATCTTGAGGAAAACATGAAAATTCCTCTTTGGACCTGAAAAAAAGTATAATAGTTCTCTGTCTTTCACAAAGGTTTGCAAGTACGAGGCTGAGTGAAAAGCAAAGTTTTTCCCCCTTTTGGACCAACTTGGTCTGACTGAGAAGGAGGTGACATGTGTAAGAATGATGTCGTTGTCATTTTGAGAGTGAGATAAACTGAAAAATGGCTCTTCAAAATAGTCTTCTTTTCTATGGTGACATAAACCAAGGTCTCAGACTCACGTGAAAAAGCATGAAGCACTAGGAAACCTGGTGTTATTTTAAAGAATAGGTGCTTCTCTGCCAGAAAGACTCTTCGCATGGGAGGTGGTTTAGGGGGATTTTTTTCTTTTCATTTTTTTTTTTTTTTAGATTTTCATTCCTTTACAAGATGAGATTCCATAATGGATTCAGGACAATCTGACTAGTGAAGGTTTTCCAGAATCTTTCTAAAAATCTTTCCTGTGCCAAGCTCTAGGGAAGTTTATTGTGAGAGAGGTGGTCATCATTTTTAGGTTGTCTTAGTAGGTTTGCCAAGTGGTTCCAGGGCCACTTGTTTGGAATTCTTCTCCTTTTCTCCAATTTGGAAAGACTTACAGGCGTTCCATCAGACCACTCCCAAGAATCAAAATTCCAGAAGTTTCTTTTATTAAATCCAATCCAGAACTGCCTTTCTTCTGTCCTATGAAGAAAAGAAGCAAAACCTTTGCTGTGCCCATCAAATTCACAACACTATGTAAATGGTTTAACAATATTTTAAAATATTTATGTGTGCAGGAAACAACTGATGCTGCTAGTGAGACTGATTAAAAAAAAATATATATATATATATATTGAACTTTCCTTAGGTGCAAAGCCCTGTGATATGAGATGATCTGAGAGAAGATTAGCCTCAGATCTATTTCTCGTTTCTCATCAGGAATGGCAGTGTGTTCAATCAGGAGGAGAAGACATGGAAGCAATTGGTAAGAAAGTCTGGAACACCTCTACCCTAGAGAACTTTTCTCTACTATCTATTTACTAACTTTAGTACACTACTCATACTATCTGTCTATTCCTTGGTTTGTTGTTCTTTGGTCAGCTGTTCATGTACTCTCTAAAACTTAATCACCACCATTCCTATTTAATAAAAGTTACACAGTAGATGTTTTTCAGATCTCAAAAATACATAATTCTACAGTAAATCAGCCTGAGCCATAGTAGATTAATTTCAGCAGTCACCATTGGCTTACACCTGGTAAGTAGCTCCACAGAGAATCATCTTCCCTCCTATGAGGTAGAGTACAAATATGTCAGGCCACCGAGTACTCAATACATCAAGCTATAAAGCCCAGTTGCACAATGAACTGTCTCACGAAGATAACTTTCATTAGAAAAATTCTGAAGAATTAAAGATGTAAAAGATTCAGAAGTCACTTTGCTTTCCTTCTGCAGAGAAGCCAGCTTACTCTGAAGTAGCCCTTCTCAGACACTGAAACTGCTCTGCCTGAATGGTACTAATGACAATAAAATGCAGTTTAGCAAATCTGAGAAATTACTGGTGTCTTGGTGGCCACAGTCATGATGAGATGGGGGTGGGGAGACAAGGAGAGGGAGCCACATAGGGTTAAGCCTGCTATAAGCTACATTAGTCTCCATGGCATAGGCTGGAAATCTTCATCATTCTCTCTGTGTTGAGAACTTTTATCTCTTTCCTCACTGAATTCAGAGGTCTACATTTTTCCTGCTATATACTGGCTTCCAGAAGATGAACTGGTATTTATTTTCTATTAATTGTATAATTTTAGATAAAAATGAGTAAAATACAAATAGAAAAGCAGTGCTATAGGAAGAAGTAGCAGCATCCATAACTATGAGGGAGGTTGTGGTATATTTGCTATCATTAAGCATCAGATTTGACTGCTAATCCAGGCCAAAGGTCAAATATGTATTATACAGTTTTGTGGTGTTGAAGAGCAATAATTCAATAGATAATTGGCACTCACTCCTTCTGGAAATTTTGACTGTGAGAAATAACAAAGAGAATAGAAATGAGAATAGAAATGACATGGACATCTGCCCTTAGAGCCAGTTAGGATGTGATTTGCATGTGGTTGTGTCAATAGCAAACCTCAGGATATGCAAGTACGTTTTTCAAGAGGCTAAAGTACTGAAACCGAGTATAACTTGGGTCAATAGAAACCACCACCTATCACTCAGAGTTGTGGCCTGCCCCTAGATAACAGTCCCATTAACCAGGGAGCTTCTTAATCTGTTCCTCAGCTTCAGAGAGTCTGATTCAGCAGTTTGGTGCAAGCAGAAAGCTCTGTGTTAAATGGCATCCTGAGAGTGTGATGATTAGCCTGGGTGTGGAACCTTGGCCTCAGGTCAGCATTTCCTATAGAGACTAGCAGTTCTCTGGGATGTTGTTTAAAAAATAAATAAATAACAGGTTTTGTGGTCTAAGAAAGTGCTTCCTTTCTATGCTAAAGTACTTGGCAAATGTTTAAAATAGTACATTGTTTACAAAAATATTTGGCCATAAAAATACCTCTTGTTCTTCACAGAATATTCCATGAGACTCTCATTGAGAAATGTCGAAAACTCCCACTTTTTTTTTTTTTTTTTTTTGAGAGTTTTTTGCTATAGGGCACGTGCGCTCGCCAGACAGACAGAGAGAGACATAGAGACAGAAAGCAAGAAATCACCCCCCAGGGGGGATGGTCACACCGCAATCCCTTCTCTCCCATTCTCCTCTCGGGATCTTGGGCACGCACGCACACGCGCCTGGCGTGAGTTTTAAGCCACCGGGTCCGGGGACGCGAACTGCGGTCGACTACGTGGGAGTCCAGTGACATAGCCATTACGCTAACTGCTGGTTCCTGAAAACTCCCACTTTTGAGATCATTTTGTAGATGCTAAAGGTGAATAATTTGACAGAGTCTTATGCTAACTTTTTTATGGGTATGTCCTACAAGGTAACTTAGGATTTTCGTCAAAACAAAATAGTACTGCATTTTCTTTGGGATTCAGGCAAGTGTTTCATGAGACTCTAGATTTCCAGAGTTTGCTGTGGAGTACCAAGTCTCGGGTCTCGTATTGGCTTTCATTAGATTAAGTGTGGAGCCATGGAGACATGCTGCCTTGAGCACGGCAGCCTTAGGGGCAGGATTTTGTCTGTCATGTCCACTGAATTCTCCAACCAGCTATGCATGTAATTGCCCCTTCCTCAGAAGAGATTCTCCAACATATGCTGACTGGCAACAGCCTTCCAGAGAAAGAGGCCAAGGGAATGGGAACACACACAAAAGGGGACTTGATGGCTCACACTGAATGCATATTTGAAGAGACTAAACTTGATCTGGATTGCTCTAGCTCCAAACTGAAGAGAGAAAGATTTTTGGCTTATTAGAAAGTTGATTTTTAAACCAGCCTTCTGCAATGAAATGGGCTTTCTCCTAAGTAAGAGGCATTCTGAAACCAGAAGAAATTATGCAGACTGTGAATAACCAAGTGAGAATGTGGTAGAAAGAATTTCTGTATTGAGCGGGAGGAAGAACAAGACCTTTTAGATTTCCTTCAATTTAAACTTAACTGAGTTTCTAACTAGATGATGCAGATAAGGGCACGCACGCACACGCGCCTGGCGTGAGTTTTAAGCCACCGGGTCCGGGGACGCGAACTGCGGTCGACTACGTGGGAGTCCAGTGACATAGCCATTACGCTAACTGCTGGTTCCTGAAAACTCCCACTTTTGAGATCATTTTGTAGATGCTAAAGGTGAATAATTTGACAGAGTCTTATGCTAACTTTTTTATGGGTATGTCCTACAAGGTAACTTAGGATTTTCGTCAAAACAAAATAGTACTGCATTTTCTTTGGGATTCAGGCAAGTGTTTCATGAGACTCTAGATTTCCAGAGTTTGCTGTGGAGTACCAAGTCTCGGGTCTCGTATTGGCTTTCATTAGATTAAGTGTGGAGCCATGGAGACATGCTGCCTTGAGCACGGCAGCCTTAGGGGCAGGATTTTGTCTGTCATGTCCACTGAATTCTCCAACCAGCTATGCATGTAATTGCCCCTTCCTCAGAAGAGATTCTCCAACATATGCTGACTGGCAACAGCCTTCCAGAGAAAGAGGCCAAGGGAATGGGAACACACACAAAAGGGGACTTGATGGCTCACACTGAATGCATATTTGAAGAGACTAAACTTGATCTGGATTGCTCTAGCTCCAAACTGAAGAGAGAAAGATTTTTGGCTTATTAGAAAGTTGATTTTTAAACCAGCCTTCTGCAATGAAATGGGCTTTCTCCTAAGTAAGAGGCATTCTGAAACCAGAAGAAATTATGCAGACTGTGAATAACCAAGTGAGAATGTGGTAGAAAGAATTTCTGTATTGAGCGGGAGGAAGAACAAGACCTTTTAGATTTCCTTCAATTTAAACTTAACTGAGTTTCTAACTAGATGATGCAGATAAGTGAATGCTCATTCCCTCAAATGTAAAATTATGGGTTTGGATTTGATGGCTGTTCTTTTAATCAGGGGGATTCTTTAAAAACAACAACAACAACAACAAATTTCCACGAACTCTGTTTATAGTGAAAACAATTTGCAGTGGAGCTCCTTGGAGTTGCTCTGGTGAGTCAGTGAGCAAGGAGCCAAGAGTTCTGCCATTTGGCCTCCTACCACCCCTGAGGTTCCAGGGCCCTTGGGAATTTTCAGATAACACTTTGAAAACCACGGGGCTAAATAATTTCTGAGTTGGTAGCAAATCTCTAAAAATCTGAGACACACAGAAAGGATTGAAAATACCCAAACAATCATTGCTTCATTCTCTATTTTATGGAATGAGAACTGGGTAAGTATAAGTATAAAATTTAGGTATACATATACATACATACATATATGTGTGTGCATATATATATATATATAAATTCACAACTAGTGGTTAGTTGGTTTTAGGTTTATAAAACTTGGAATTTAAAGCAACTATTTTGGATACTTACCTATAAGAAGCCATTATTGGGACATGTAATATTTGACTATAAGTTTCAAAAATTAACAAGTATTTACCGATTAAATTTAGAATATAAAAGCTTATTCACAAAATTCTCTTCCTCAATATGGGCAAAGCTTGCAAGATGAGCTCCAAATTTCTGACAGAACTCTTCAGCTTCTAGCCATGTCCTTTTCTTCAAGACTTTTTCACTATGAAATACCTGCATAACAAAAGAAAAGAAATTTAACACCGTTATGGAAAAGGTGAGGCTGTTTAATTCTGTTCGAGAAAGTAACAGCACTGTTGACCCTTGAGCAACAAGATTTGAATTGCATGAGTCCACTTACACAGTTTTTTTTTTTAGTAAATGCCGATAATGTATTTTATCTTCCTTATAATTTTCTTAATAACATTTCCTTTTCTCTAGCTAACTTTATTATAAAAATATCGTATATTAATACAAATAATATACAAATATGTATTTATTGACTATTTTATTGGTAATGCTTTTGGTCTACAGTAGGCTAGTAGTAGCTAAGCTTTGAGATAGTAAAAAGCTGCACTTGGATTTCAACTGCACAGGAGTTGGTGCCCTAATCCTTGTGTTGTTCATAGGTTAACTGTCATTGTCATTATTCTATATTAAAAACTTGACCTAGTATGATGAAACAATATTTACTGAAGTAGAATGTGCCTCATCATCACACAATTAGCTCATTTAATCTTCATAATACCTTCATAAGGAGGAGATGATAAACTCAGTTTTTAAAACGAGTTCTTTGAGGAGTTCCCCCAGTTCTCCTATGACTGGCATAATTTGTCTCATGATAAATGTCTGGCAAAAGATGAAGACTGGCAGGCTCAGACAGGTTAAAGATTTCAGGTCATGCAGTTATAAACTGGCAGAGCTAGGATTAGATTCAGAACTCCTTGCTCCAGAGTCTATGATTCCCATCCCACCAGACTGTCTTCTGGAAGACTGAACATTGGCGAGTCTGGCTGATCCAAGGCATGGAATGAGAAATGAGAACCAGGAACAGGGCAGGTGTATTTCTAGGGTGTAGGGGCTTAGCAGAACTGGCAGTGCACTAGTTCAGCTGTGCTTAAATTCTCTGCTGTTTCTAATGATAGCAAGAAGTGAGTTGAATAGAGGACCTGTGTTTTACATAAGGCTAAGATAATGGACTAAAGACCCAGAGCTCCCAGGCCTCGGCCTCTGCACTCTACTGTCTAGCTCTAAGCCACATCTCTGATGCTGAGACTGGAAAGAATAGCTTTCCAAGTCTTGCTGGCCACAACACCACCTTTCCATCTTTGAAGTTATATATCGAAATGCCTCCTCTGGGACCTCTTTCTAAATCACTCTAAATTCATAAATCTTACCCATGTCCATTGAACATACTATGTATTTGTCGATATATCAGATGATACAGAAAAAGTACCCCATCTTAGTACTAAGACCATGGATTTCTTTCAGCTCTGTCAATAGACCATTGTAAACGGGCATACGTCGTCATTTCATTGGCCTTGATTTACTCATTTCTAAGGTTTAATTTGTTGCTTCAGGAAGTCATTTCTGTTCCTATTCTATGAATTTAATTTAGGGTTACACATGTGCATATTTAAATGGAGTGCCATCTATGAGACTGTGGCCTCTCTGGAGTTAGAGTCTGTCTTTAAGCAAGTGTCCTTTTCATTTGGTATATATTTGACAATATGAACACTGACTGGGGCCTTGATATTGCAGCGCAGGTCCCTGAATGACCTTGGTAAACCCAACTTTTCTCCTTTAGCTTGGATTCTCAGGCAGAATGTACAAAAACGTTAATCCTGAGATAAGGAAGAACTGTCCTCTTCCTCCTTAGAGCACTTTGGCACAGTAATCCCAGTGGTGTTTGGTGTGTAAAACCTAAAGTGAAGGGCTTTCAGGGTCCCTCAGCTGAGGGTAAAGTGGTACTTGTGCAGATGAGCTTTCTGGTGACTTAGCTTGCTATGGGCTCTGGGCTTCTGTTCCTTCTTGCTGCCATCGAGTAAAAAGTTGCTTTGTCTGCCTTGCCATATGAGTGTTCTATCTCCCTGGACTTACACTCTGATGGCTGAGTTTGTGCAAAGCCTCCTGCAAGAACTAGGCACCTTAGCAGAAATAGTAATACTAGTGCACAGTGTTGGCAAGGTATTTTAAGTTCTCCCCCAGGATGAAGAACCAGCATGGTGTTCCCCTCCCAGGGATTAATAACAGTGCTTGGTATTTCTGCTTAAGAGATAATAATCTTCCTGAGGAAATTTTCAATATCCTCTACCAGAGCATGCCAATTTTTTACTTAAAACGATTTGGAATATAATGAAAGGATAAGGACAGGCAACAAATATTGATTACAAGTGTCCTTTTCATTTGGTATATATTTGACAATATGAACACTGACTGGGGCCTTGATATTGCAGCGCAGGTCCCTGAATGACCTTGGTAAACCCAACTTTCTCCTTTAGCTTGGATTCTCAGGCAGAATGTACAAAAACGTTAATCCTGAGATAAGGAAGAACTGTCCTCTTCCTCCTTAGAGCACTTTGGCACAGTAATCCCAGTGGTGTTTGGTGTGTAAAACCTAAAGTGAAGGGCTTTCAGGGTCCCTCAGCTGAGGGTAAAGTGGTACTTGTGCAGATGAGCTTTCTGGTGACTTAGCTTGCTATGGGCTCTGGGCTTCTGTTCCTTCTTGCTGCCATCGAGTAAAAAGTTGCTTTGTCTGCCTTGCCATATGAGTGTTCTATCTCCCTGGACTTACACTCTGATGGCTGAGTTTGTGCAAAGCCTCCTGCAAGAACTAGGCACCTTAGCAGAAATAGTAATACTAGTGCACAGTGTTGGCAAGGTATTTTAAGTTCTCCCCCAGGATGAAGAACCAGCATGGTGTTCCCCTCCCAGGGATTAATAACAGTGCTTGGTATTTCTGCTTAAGAGATAATAATCTTCCTGAGGAAATTTTCAATATCCTCTACCAGAGCATGCCAATTTTTTACTTAAAACGATTTGGAATATAATGAAAGGATAAGGACAGGCAACAAATATTGATTAAATACCTGCTGTGTGCCAGGCACTGCTCTAGGAATAAAAGGTGCTGAAATAAAAGAATTTGGGGTACACGGGTCAAATTAAAATAACATCGGTACTGTTAAGAATGTCCACGTAACTTCATATCACCTTAAAGCAATTGGCCAGACCGGGCTCCGACTCCCAGTCCAAATAGCAGGGGTGAAAGGGCCATCTCTCTTCATGCACAGTTTTCTCTCCATTTTTGATTGGTTGCTTGCACAGGGACATTGCCTTAAAGTGTTTACAGTCCTTTACTTCCCAGCGACCAAGTGGTCTCCTTCCTCGCATAACAGCACAGCCGCCACTGTAGCCTAAAAGCATAAAACAAGGACTTTTAATCCCAGACAACTACAACTGTCTGTGCTCAGTAGACAGCTCCTTAGAGTGCTGAAAAATTGACATTGCGTAATGAAGCAACCAGGCAAGAACAATAAAGATGAAAAGGATGCTTTATTGACATGATTATCTCATTGCTCTTTATCCCTGGAGGAAAGAATAGAAGATGGAAAAGAGAAAAAAGAGACTGGGAAGTCTGAAATTTGGACCTTGTCTACTGTGAGCTCAGATAGCACATGAATAGTACTAGAAGCTATTTCTACATGGGACTGACATTTCCCCATAACTCAATGCTATGAAATCGCATTGTGAAATTTCAACAATGAAAAAATGCATAGTGCTAATCCTCTGAGAACTACATTAGCAGGGAACAATAATTACATAGTTTGGATAACATTGGATTCAAGGTAGACTGCAAGGTGTGCGACAGAAAGCCAAACTAAACCACGAGAGAATGGAGAGATTGAGAAGGATTCTCAAAATGGAGAAAAACCTTGGGAACAGAAACTAGGGCAGACTTCAGGGAAAAGGTGGGGGAAGAGGGAAGAGAGGCGAGAGGAAGAAAGTCTTTTATATAAAAAGCAAAATTACAGAGCATTTCCTCTCCTTCATAATTTGTGTGAAATATTTAGAAGGTGATAGACTGTATAGTTATGTATAGTTATAAATAAAGCTACACTTTTTTCTTTTTTGTACATTTGAACATGAAATATTTTATAAATTAAGATTCTTAAATTTGTTAGCAAAATGTATACAACTCATAAGATAACCCAAAAAATACACTTCAAATTTCAGTAACGAGTAGGAGAAAACTATCCCATTTCAAAAATAGAATAAGAATGAGCCTTTTTTTTTTCTCTGAAATTCAGGCTGATCATTAACTAAATTAACAGTCAATAACAACCACAAAAAAAATCATACATTTACAATGTGCCTGGCTAGGCTGTATATTGTCTTTTAAACAGAGAAGAACAAAATAAAACAAAACAAAACCTGACTCATAGTTTAGTGTGAGACATAGCTACATAAACAATCAATCCCAATACACATAATATGTAAAGTACTATAGTACAGGTGCGTTCAAGGTTCTGGAGGAGACTTCAGAAGGGGTAATGAAGCCTGCCCAGAGATATCAGTAAAGGATTTGCAGTGAGCGACATTTAAGATGAGTTTTGAAGGGTGAAAAGAGTTTTCAGGGCAGGTTTGTAAAAAGGAAGGGATTATACATAAACCTTCTGAAGACTTGTGATGATTCTGAGCTGAAGAGCAATTAAAAAAAAAGTAGTCACTTGGTACTGGGTACTGTTTTATCTTGCTTAATTTTCCTTCAGAAGTAATGACTGAATTTCTTTAGATACGGAGTAGCGGGCATTATCTTTGTCAGCCATGTTTTGAATGTTTTATGCTCATGGCAAGACTAAAGAGAGGGAGAATGAAGAGTGGAGTGAGAAGAAAGAAGACAGAAGACATAGAAAGAGCCTCCACTAAAGGAATGGAAGAGTTTGATGAAAGAGGAAAAAGAGTGCAGAGCTGAAGACCAAGTGTTTGTGTCTTCCATCAGCCTGGTGCACATCATGTGTTAGGCACCAATGACCAGACAGTCCCGACCTACAGGAAGCCCACAGCCCCATATGTGCATGCCGACATATCCAAGAGTCCCACAAAGGTGAATTCTGTATAGGAGGAAAGCTGCTAAGTATGATACATGGAAGTAGAGGAAGTCAAAGTAGAGTTGGTTCCTACAAAGGCTCCATCGACCCAGCACAGCTCGTTTGTGTTAAAGATGGAGAGATGGGAGGCAGGCAAGGGGAGGGATTATAATATGCAGCTGCCCTGCTATTAATGGAGGCATTGTGGAGTATCATGTTAAAATGCAGCTCACAACCCAACTGGATCATGAACCATAGAGGAGGTGCAGCAGGCCTTGTTCATTGAAATTAGAAACCTACAAGGAAGCCCCCAACTGTGGAGCTGCTCTAGTAGAAAGAGGAGGGAAAATATGCACGCCCACCTGATTTCCCCATCCTTCCCTCTCAACAGCCTTTGGAGGCCCCAGTGGCACCTCTAGTTACTGCAGAGTAAAGGTGGGAAACCTTATGGAAAGAATGTCTGCCTTGAAGCTTGAAGTCTGGGGTTCTAGTCTCAGCACAAATATTTAGTAACTCAAATCTTGAGCAGTTTAATAAGCCTTATTTAAAATATGGAATCATAACTCCTTTTCTTCTCATGGGTTTTCATAAAGACCTAATAAAATAATGTACTCAAAAGCACTATGTAAGATATGAACAACTAAGAACATCACTAAGATGTTGCTGTTATTTGTATTAGGGCCATTTTCATTACAAAAACTGGGATTTGTGTCATGAATTTCTGCCTGCATGTTCAAAGAATTTTTAAAAAGTTTGAATCAGCAAGTTTAGAATGTAATATACTTTTTTGTTGGTCTTGCATTTTGTCTCACTTTCCCGCATCAGACAATGATTAAATAGCTTTGGTTTTAGATGCTATAGATATTCAACTCATCTTCATTAGTAAAGAAGGAGATGTTTGTGAACTGCTATGAAGATGAAAAGTGCTGTAGAAATGTTATTGGTATTCTAAAGTGGTTAACTTAATGGAACATTTGACCCAAATTTTAAAGTCTCAGCCCCTAAGAAGCAGTAAAGTGGTGTAATAAAGAGAGGCTGGGCTAAGGGAGATATAAACCAAATTTATAAGCCTGTATCATGAGGATGCTTGCAAAGCCAAATAGTAAGAGTAGGGGTGCAGCAAAGATTGGAGGCAGTTTTTTTCCTAGAGAAATCATTCTCAGACATGACAAATCGCTTCTTATTGGAGAAGACAAATGACCATCCTTTTTTTCAATGGTGAAAATTTCACATTTCAGCTAATCCTCCTGAACTGCCTTGTCCCTCCCCTTCCATCTCTTCCTGCCTGAATGGTGAAACTTTCTGTCAATAAGGAAATTCTAATTCACTCTTCTATCTCTTATATTTGACAAAGCTATCTAACCAGTGAATTCAGCTGGGAAAACCTCCACATTCCACCTGACTGGTCAAATACTTGAAAAGCAACCACCAAATCCATTTGCAGCTTTAGGGCAAGATGGAACTGTGTTGGAGTGTCAGTGCTTCTAGATGGTTATTTCTCTAGCCTGTCTAGTTATTTCCCACTCCCTGCAACAGCTCTTTCACATCCTCACCTCTCAAGTTCTGTAGCCTCCCACTTTCCCTTTCATTCCTTCTTACCACCTTCTCCACAGAGAAGAGTGTGCTCTTCGGGCAGGGAAGGCGAGCGGTCGTGGTGTGCTATATTTTTGCCAGCACTGCGCTAGGCATTTTAGATGGTCTTTTCTTATTGAACTTCAAATATTTTAGGAGGCAGATATTAGTGTCTGCATTTTTTGTAGATGAAAATATTGAGGCACAAAGGCTTGTTAACATGTCAATATTCATGGAGTATGGATTTTTTTTTGAGAGAGATATTTTTCTACAGAGCATGTGTACTTGTGGGAGAGACAGAGACACAGAAAGTGAGAAATCATCCTCCAGGCGTACTGGTGGGGTTGGTGGGGGAGACCACACCACAATTCCTTCTTCTCCATTCTCCTTTCAGGATTTTGGGCATGGACGCACATGCATCTGGCATGAGTTTCAAGCCAACAGGTCTAGAACTTGAACTGTGGTTGACTACGTGGGAGTCCAGCAATGTAACCATTATACCATTAGCTGCTCCCAGTTAGAGTGGATTTGATCCGGTGGATTTTGATCATCATACTTCCCTCCCTTGTGTAGTCACAGTATTTCCGTGACAATCTAACACTATCACACCTTTATCTTGTATGACAGTTGCTTCCATGATTATGAAAACATGGAAATGTTGTAGGGAGCTCAGACTGAGTGTATACTTCCCTATGTAGTGGCTTATTTCAGACTCTGATGAGTTAAAATGGACTGGCTCAGGTAGCTGAGTCTGCTCACCAGATAGGCTTTTTACATCTCACTACAGGCAGGAAACTAAAAAAAAAAAGTCAGAATTGCTCTACTCGGATCCTATTTTCATTGTCACTGGCAGAAGATTTCCATTGACTTGGAACAATTGGGAAAAATGTGCCTCGGATTTATCTCACATGAGTGAAACACACCTCTTCTGTGATGGTCTCTGTAGACTGAGAAACAAACTTGTTACAGAGCCTGAGTTATGGATGGCTGCAGAGTAGGGACCACAAGTGTTTCCTTTTCTCTATTCAGACCTTGCAAAACTCTAGTATCACTTGGAAAATCTTTTTGGAATATTTTAACAAGTGTGGTCTCACTAATTTCCTTTTACCATAGAGTAGCCTCCATTTACAGAGTCTTTAATCTAAGTACAAAGTACATTTTAGTTTCTATGCATTAGCTTCTCCCTGAATGAGCATCTAATTTATCATCTTTCCCTTTAATCAGTGGCACCAGTTAGTATGGATCAAAACTGTTTTTTCTATTTCTCCTGAATATTTTACGTCTCTCAAAATACCAAGGGCCACAGAGTCCATTTGTTGTTATTTTTAACAAAAATAGCTGCATTTCCTGGTGTTTTGATAATGAGAAATTTTAGCATGAAAGAAAGAACACAGATAAGACAGGTTAAGTAAGTCTGGCAGTCCTGAATTTGGCTTCAAAGTATCAGTTTGAACTAAGAAGTGTTTCATCTTGCATCCACACACTTCCAAGGTATGTGCCCAGAAATGGCCTAGAACAATGATAAACTGCAAACAATGATCACCATCTGCTCATATGGCCAGATTGGGATATTAGAATAATACCATTTCCCATCAAAAGGAACAAGGGTTCCTTGATAAAATGGATATTTCCAGGTCTAGAGCAGAAATTTACATCTTGTCATACCAGATAACAAAGACTATCAAAGACAACTAGCATCTTATCAAAGGACTAAGGAGGTAGTCCTTGAAGAAATTTCTGTCTCTAAGAGGGGG